GGATGCAACAACAACTCTGACGACAGCGGGCATAATTGTCACGCAATTATCAAGCCCGCATCCGACAGGGACAAGGAAATCACGGCAATTAATAACCCAACAGCGAACTGCCAAGTCATCACCGCACCGATTACGACCCCAAGCGGTGGTTACAGGAGTTGATAATTATAGTACGCTTGCGAATGGCCGCTACGGACTACAAATATAAATATCGTGTATCACCCCAATCTGTGCATGTCTTACACCATTTTACGGTCAGCTATGAGTAAGGATTCTCAACAGAATTCGAAACATCAGGAACGTAAAAGTCTTGTTCCAGTGATCGCATCTTCTTCTTCTGAACTGCTTCCTGGAACTCGCATACTCCCTTACATGTGCATTTTCTTACACACGAGGCCTAGACGTAAGTACAGCTGCAGATCGAGTGCCAAATGGAAAGAAAAACTTCATTTAAAGAAATGAAAGCTAAACTCTTTCTAACAAAAAGTAACGTGCATAAATGTTTTGTCCCTTTTCAATGGACGCTTATGTGAATAAATATAGATTTATCTAGATATATCAAGGAAACGATCACTGATGATAGCCACTTCCAAAGAAGCGATTTACTGAAGGCAGATATTTATGATGTAAAACATTTTGTTCTCAAAATTTTTTTCAATTCGTACATTTTCAGAAATAAGTACCTGTTGCGATATTGTACAGATAGTCAGGGTGTCGAGCATTCCCTTTCACTTTACTATTATTTCAAGTGATATCGTTTCCACAAAGTCATGCGTGGACAAGCTGACGGACGTTAATTAAAGTATATTGGAAACTAGGGCGTCCGCTTCAAAAATTTCCTAGTTGTCTTTCCTATATGCAGGCAGGAAATGTACGACATCAAATAAAACTTTTCCAAATAAGTCAGCCTTCTAAAAATAATGATGGAGCCACAGTTAACCGTCTATTGCACGAGGTGTTTCGACAAGTTTTCCTTTTGCCCGAAAATCAAGCTCTCCAGACGCGACCAGTCAGAGTTTGATTAGACCTCCTGTAAAGTAAAATCGGGGTAAAGGAAAGCGTTAACGTTGCTAGTTTCCGGCAGATGTCACAGTGTCACCTGGCAATGTTGGACCTCAACGTTCTGCGTCCATTCACGGACAGGTGTGACAGATGGAGCGTTTAATCACAGGAGATATCAGTGACATGTTTTTTTCAAGATGCTTTTGAGTACTTGCAGCTTTGATGTTCCTTCAAAGTGTTAAAATGTTTTGACATGGGTTGAAAAAAACAAAAATGCTTTTTTGACACTGGTGAAATGGAATAGCACATGTAAGCATGCAGTTTCGGAGCACCGCGAAATTTATTTTATTTAAAGAAAATTGAAATTAGTATGGCCGACATCCTACTCCAACTTCGAAACATGGTTTCACGAGCTTTGAGGACACTTCCAGAGTAGCAAGCATGATTATGCTGCACTTAAAATCGTAGCCATTTTAACACAGCGCGGTCCGGCTAGCATAAGATTGTTTGGATTCCTAGAAGTAGCGAAGCGCAATGCAAAGTTTAATAACACTCGAAGGACAGTGCCGATTATTGAAAAATTCGTAGCTTACTGTCACAAATTCTGGTCAAGTGGGAAACATCTTTACTTATCACGTGTCTTTACTCCTCTTGCGTGCTGCCATCTTTAGAAGTACCAGGCGTCGGCGATACGAATACGTAAGATGGTGAGGGTTTTAGCGTCTGAATAGTGATTGTGCTTATGATACTACATTCAGAGGCCAAATCCCAGGTTGTAGGTAAAAGGCAAGAGTCACCAGAATGAGGGTTTTATTGTGCAG